TGCATATGGTTCTCCTTAAAGACCATTTCTTCTCATTTTCCACCAACCCTAAAGACAGTCTCAGCAATGTCTGCGTTACCCCTCTGCCAGAAATATTCTTACCCTCATAGCCTTAAGGTTCATTTTCTCCCTTCCTTCAGATCTCCACTGAAATGGCATCTTCTCAGTGAAACCCTCCTGGCCATCCTATCTAAAATGCCAACCTTATATATAATGTAGAGTTTTGGAGGCCATTGTAAGGACTCTGACTTTTACTCTGAGTAAAATGGGAGGCCTCTGGAGGGTTCTGAGCAGAGAAGTGATATAATCTGGCTTATGTTTTAAAAGGAATACTCTGGCTTCTGTGTTTACAGTTGACTGTAGGATAATTAATAAATAAAGAGACCAATGAGGAGGCTACTGCAGTAATCCAGGTGAGGGATGAAGGGAGCTTATACTAGAGTGATAGCAATGGAGATGGTGAGAAGTGATCAGATTTTGGATATATTCTGAAGATAGAGCCAACAGTATTTCCTTATGGACTGGATGTCGGATGTGAAAGAAATAAGCACCAAGGTTTTTGGCCTGAGCAACTGGAAGGAGAGTTGTCACTGCCTGATACAGGGAAGGCTGCAGGTAGAGCAGTTTGAGATGTCTGTTAGACATCTAAATGGAGATGTTGAGTACATAGCTGGATATACAAGTCTAAGTTGGGGAACAAGAGGTCTGGATTAGAAATACAAATTTGGAAGTCATCTGCATATAAATTGTATTTAAAGCCAGGAAATTAGATGAAATCGTCAGGGACTGATATAGATCAGGATTTCTCAACCTTGGCAATACTGACTTTTGGATTGCATAATTCTTTGTTGTGGGGGGCTGCCCTGTGCATTGCAGGTTGGTTAGCAGCATTCCTAGCTTCTACCCACTAGGTGCCAGTAGCACCTTGCCCCAGTTGTGACAACCAAAATATCCCCTGGGGGACAAATCCCCTCTTCGCCTCCTTCTCCCCTGCTGAGAACCACTGATGTAGAATAAAGAGGACCAAACACTCTTTCTACTATGCCCTTTCATGTCCAGGTTACAGAATATCATTTCACTACTTTCTTCTCAGCACCCCAAACCAACTTATTCCCTTGTCCTTGACCTGTTATCTGCAAACCTTAGTTCAGTATCACCATCCACTTTACCTATTTACCCTTAGCTGTTGAGCACCGCTGGAGAAAAGTTATACATTCTTATTACATGTAGTGCCACACATTTTCAGTCTTTCACCTTAGCTGAGGCCTCCAAAATATGGTCATGTGTCCCTAAGCCGGTTTCTCCCATCCCATACAATAGCTATTCCAAACCTCTACCATTCTCCTTAAGACTGATAATCTATGTTCATTACATGTTTATTATTTATTTGTTAACTTTCTCCCCAACCAGAGAATAAGTTCACTGCCTCAGTGTTGGAACATAATAGACCCTCAATAGATTCTTTAATCTATGTATGAATCATCTTCACCTCCACCTTTTGTCAGTTGTCTATTTCACAGAGTAAACTGAGACCATCAGGAATAAATTCTATCAAATATCCTGCCCCTACAATTACAAATTTAGCTGTATCTGAGGACACTTTCTCACCTGGTCTTTAGCTCTTGCTAACATAACTGACGACTTCAAATTATGTCAAATAAAATCATCAAGAATCAGCTTTCCTCTTAACTGACCTCTAGTAAGTACCCGGTATGGGCTAGGCACTGTGCAATGCTGAGTTGTACCTGAGACTGTTAACCACTCTCTAATCCTTCAAACTCTTTGCCCCACTGGGTTTAGCGACACCAGTTTATTCTGGTTTTCTCCTTCCTCTACTGCTAGGGCTGCTCCCATCCCTTTACCTACCCCATAAAGGTGGGTGGGTATTTCTCAAGGTTCTAACCTTGGCGCTTCTCTCTCCTCCTTCTCTCTCTCTCTATATATCTATCTGTGGACTAGCTCATTTATGCTCAAGGCTTCCACAGCTACTATTTACGCTAAAAACTTCCAAATCCACGTGCCTAAGACAAACCTTGTTCCTAAGTTCTAAACCCTTTACTTTCAACACCCCAGTAGTCATCCCTACTCTGATTTCCCAGAGGCACCTCCACATGTCCAAAACCAAACCCATCTGCTCCCTCTGTATACATTCATCTTCCTGTATTCTCTATCCTTTCTTCATTTATTTAATAAGTATGCACCAGAAATTATGGTAGGCAACAAGAATACAAAAACATGTTAACTGCTCAAAAGGAACTCTAGAAGGTAAGAGAGATAGTAAAAATAATAATATAACCCAATACGTAAAAAGACTGAGATATGCACAAGGCGCTACAGAAGTGTAAGAATGAAGAAGGGGAGTTAGGGAAGGTACCTGACTTGAATCCTCGCAGAGAAGCAGGAGTTAGCCAGGCAAAACCAACATGAGTCAAAGCACAGCTCTAAAAAGGAACAGGCTATCTATAAGCAATTTAGAACATAAAATCCAAAGCAGGTGTGACAGCTGTAAACCTGATCACATAGGACCTTTTTGGTCATATGAAGAAACTTATACTTCATACTGAGTGTGACCGGGAACTTCATTTTTAAGCAGGAGAATAATGTGGTATGGTTTTTGTGTCAGATATACATTTCTAGCAGTTGTATGGAAAGGTCAAGACAAGAGGCAGTTCGAGGGCCTAGTATAACAGTCCAGGCAAGAGGAAAGCCTGCAAGGGCAGTGGTGGTAAGATTAGAAAGAAGAGACTGAACAAAAAAATAATTAGGAAGCTGAGTGAGTGGGACTTCCTAATTAGTTACCTATCCAGAGGCCAAGGTCAAGGAGGAGTGAGGATTTAAGTTAACTCCTGGCCAAGTTTCTAGCTTTCCTGGAAAAAGTACCCACAAATCAGTAAGAATAAGAAAATAAACCCAGTAGAAAAATAGTAGTATATTCTTCTCGGATGATGAAAAAGTTTTGAAACTAGAGACAGATGGTGGCTGCACAACATTGTGAAAGCACTAAGTGCCATGGAACTGTACACTTTAAAATGATTAACTGTCTGTTATGCAAATTTCCCCTCAATAAATATTTAAAAAAAAAAACAGGCAAAGGCTATAATAATCAGGTAATTTACAGGAAAAAAGGCTATTAAACAAATTAAAAAACACCTGAATTTCACTGGGAATCAGAGTAATGAAAATTAAAACAATGGGATACCATCCCCATTCCTACCCCCCAAAAAAGATTCACAAAATTTTAAAAGATTGGTACTATTCAATGTTAGTGAAGGTGTGGGGGTACGAACATTTCTATACACTAATGATGGAACAGAGTTTGGAACAGCTCTTTTGGACAGCAATTTAACAGTATATATCAACACACAAAATACACATTTCCTTTGAACTAGCAATTCTACTTCTAAGAATATACCTAACAGAAATATTCCACTTACACACAAAGCTCTACAAGAGAATGTTCAATGTAGAACTGATGTAAACAAAAATATGAAGACAACCTAAACATCTGTCTATACCCAGTGCTATCGAGTCAATTCCAACTCATAGCAACCCTACAGGACAGAGGAGAATTGCCCCCATGGAGATTCCAAGGCTGTAATCTTTACGGAAGCAGGCTGCCATAGCTTTCTCCCTTGGAGTGGCTGATGGGTTTGAACTGCTGACCTTTCAGTTGGCAGCCAAGCACTGCGCCACGAAGGATCCTTCCAAACATCCATCTATAGGGAGGGGTTAAATCAATTCTGATAATCCATACTACAGAAAAGTACAATATGACCTGAAATATATATGAAATGAAATGGAAAAATTTCCAAAATATATATATATATTTTTAGGGAAAACACTAAATCACAGAACAATATGTATAATATATTTCCATTTATACTTAAGAAAACACAAGTCCATATATGTTTGTAAATGCACAGAAAAGATCTGGAAGAATAACAAAAAAACTTAAATTTGGAGAGAATAAAATGGAATAATGGAAATTCATTTTTCACTCTAGCAAAGTCTAGTTTGATTCTCCCCTCCCACAAACATGAATTACTTCCATAATTTTAAAAATGAAAAACTTGATAATGTGTGTGACATGTGGCATGTGACTAGCTATAAAACAATCTGATAAGTGAAATAGATCCAATGGCTAATCGGTGTTTAATAAATAAAGACTACTGCTAAACATCTTTTTTTTATTAGCTATTCTCATATGTGTTTTGCACATTGACCAAAGGGCTTGCATTTGCCTGTGTCCCTTTGTGGTCGGGCAAGCCCACTCCTTCAGCATTCATGCTACTCAAAACTACACTTAAAGAATTTATTTGCTTTTCAATGCAGAAGTCATACAAATTGATGTTTCCCATCCTTACGCCTTTAATCTTCTTCAAAAGTCTTTTTAAAACTGTGATCAATTTTTACCATTCCCAATATGAATAGTTGTAATAAAATTTAAGTAATTTAAAAAACAATCAGGAGAGAGGGTGAGAAATATTCTGACCCATAATTTAACTAAAACTTGGCTTTTATTCATTGTTTCTTAATATATTGTACTCTTTCAACATCTTAAGAGCGTAAACTATTTTTCCTTTTTTCAAATAGCAAGTATTTTCTTATTAACAAACTCTTTCTGATAAGATGACTGTTTTTTAACATTCTTTTACTCCTGAAACAAATCTTTCCAAGTGATTTTTCAAGTGTCTTTTGGGCCCATCATCGTTTTCTCCCATATCACATACAAAAGGATGACTAACACAGCAAAGTGAGAGGAAATGTCACTTCTAAAGTTATGTAAAAAATAGAAGCGAACAATTGCTTTCAGTAGAGCATCTCTTTCATATCTAAGGTCAAGAAAGAGGGTACTACTAATTCATTTGACTAGTGGGTGATTATCACTGAGCCTTTTTATGACTTGCCAATCCAGTAATTTGAAAAGCATTTTTGCTTTACCAAGTCAGAGAAGACAAAGCATTTAAGCATCCCCATTAAAACAATAAAACCATTCTTACGTTCTTAAAGAGTGTCTCAGGTGCCATTTCAGATCCAGTTAGTGTTCGTAAGAGGAACATTGGCCAAGATGACACGTTCATCTGGTACCCTATTTTATAAAATAAATCAGATATCATGAAAAAGCCTCCTTGTGATACTATAGCAAGTCTGGTATAAAAAATAGGTTTCATTCATCATATTTCTGTAGAGGATGACTTTCTTATCTAAGAACACAGGAGATAGGAAAGAGGAGCAGATGTACCCTCCTCTCAGCTCTATTGCTTCCACTGTACTATTTGGCAACAACGCTACAGTGGAAGTGGAAACTCTCATTTTAGAGAAGTCACTGTGTATGGTTTACCGACAAACACATATATGTTGGGAATGGTCCAGAATATTAGGGGTGATCCAAGCCAGAGCCCAGGAGAGCTTTCAACAGCCACATAAGCAGAGCAAAGGCTACAAAAGACTTCCAGCTCTTCTTTTTCCTCAGAGGCCCTGGCTTCTTTCCTTTCAGAAAAAGACAATTTTCTGTCAGAACTCAGTGAACATACACTTAAAATGGTGCATTGCATTGTATGTAAATTTTACCTCAAAAGAAAAAAAAACTGTAAATAAACATTAAACTCTAGTCAATGAATATGTGTGCTAAAAGTATTTAGGGGAAGTGTACTGATATCAATAACTTACTCTGAAATGCATTAAAAAACAGGGTGCATTCATGGATCAACAAAGGAACAAACAGATGGACAGATAAGTGATAAAGCAAGTATAGTAAAATGATAATGGTAGACTCTAGGTGGTGGGTATGTGGGTGACCTCTGCAAATTTCTTCCACCTTTTCTGTTTGCTTGAAATTTTTCATAAAATGTTAGGAAAAAAGACAGATCTCACTTTCACGATCTATACACATACTAAAGGTGATATTCTTTTAGAATTTTTATCAGATGTCGGTCAAAATTGACTCAGTAGGTGCCTTTCCTAGAGATTTTACCAAGTAATGATAAGGTTCATAGCATCTGGCACATGCAGCAGAGAGCAGAGGTCTGCCAGTTTTATTGTCTTTTGGGAAGGGCAATCTGTTTCATGCAGTACTGGCCTGCCTTCATGTCAGAACTGGAGAAAACCTGCCATGCACCCTGATGGATAGAGGCATTAAGATAGGGAGGCACATGAATCATTGGCAACAGGTCCATCAGTAGGATAAAATATGAAAAGTTAAGACAGAAAGTCATCCCATAATAAGCCTGTACCAAAATCCCTATAGTCAGACCAGGAAAATAATTGTTGCTTGGAAAAAATCAAAAGGGGGTGATCTGTTATACACTCTGTTATATAAATCAATATTATTATTGATATCTAATAAATATTTATCCACAGCATGGATTTCCACCCTATGGTTAGAATACTGCATAAGAATCATTCTCTAGTCCTAATGCCTTTCTCTTAACCCCCATCTTATCCTCCTGCTCCATCATGCACCACAATTTTCCTTAATGTAAAATTTTTCTTAATTCTATCATTGCCTAAAGTCAAATATAAATTAAAAGACAAAAAAATAGATTAAAATGCACATACAAAGCTCAAAAACAGACAAAACTAATCTATGATGTCAGGAAGTCTGGACAGTGGTTACCTTTGTAAAGAGGGAGGTAATAATTAGGCGTCAGCAGGAGGGGGGCTTCTGGGTGCTGATAATGTTCTATTTCCTAATTTAGCTGTTAGTTATACAGGCGTGTTCATTTATAAGCTTTACACTTATGATTTGTGTACTTTTGTATGTTAAACCTCTTTAAAAATCTTTTAAATAATAACCTTTAAGGTTTAAATAAAAGCATCTAATGAACAAATTAAGAAAAATTGTATATTTTGTAGTATGTACTGCCACAATATATACTAATCAGAATGTATTACTATGCATTTCATTTATATTTTTTAAATTAATAAAATAAACTCTAAAAATAGGAAAAAAGAGAATAACCATAAATTTGGCTGTGTCTTTGAAATGCTGACAATCACAATAGCTGCATTTTCTTTAAACAAAATGCAAAAATATATTACCATGTCCCAAACAGAGAAATAAAATCCAGACAGGGAAGCACTGAGTCCCAGGTTTACACTTACGTCTCTTGCAGAATTCTGTATGATTTAATAAATATTATAAAAATAAACAACAAAAAACTTGAATGATATGAAGAAAGAAGGCAAAAAGCAGAAAACACACATGCTCTTTACTCCTAAACCATCTTCTTGGAATAACACAGCTCCTACTAGATTTTTAAATGTGTTTTAAACCAAATTAGGTAGAATTAACAATGAGAGCAAGGATAGAATAAAAAATATTGCTGAAAGAGTAGTTATCATTAATATCTTAAATTTTTGGTTCTCAGAGAATTTTTCACTAATAGAAAACAAAAAATTCCATTCTTTGAGTTTATAATAAGAATTTTCATTTTCAGCATTGTAAACAAGAACCAAATAAAAACCAGTATCTACCATTCTCTGAGAATGCAGAATAATGATAAAATAAATTACTTATTTTTCACAAAATATCATAGCCCATCTAATTTTTAAAAAGAAAAATCTTGCCCAAAACTAGAGTCACATACTTCTTGCATTTTAAAAACTTGGCCAAAACTGAGAGCAACATCCTTTGGGTCTTAAAAACCTTTGCTAAAAGTTCCATCTTCCTCTTTTCAGAGACCTAAGGGTACCGAAAGGTACCCCTCTCACTATAATTTCTTTCCACTGTAGGTGTGATGAAATTCCCGTGTTTGAAACTGGAGCCTGGATGTGGAGTCATAACCTTTCCCTGTGCTCACCCATAGCGAAAATGCTGAGTGGCTCAGTGGACAATATCGAGAGAGGAACTAAGTTGTTACCAAATGCTACACATTTTTTCCCCAGCAAAGTTTCTGAGTCTGAAAATGTAATCTAGTAGAGCTGCTTTTGAAAGTTCAAATTTGAAGACTTAGCGTGAGTCTTGCCCTGGAGTGGGGAACCTTCAGCACACATATGTGAAATGCATACTTAAGCGATACTCCACAACATACGGTCCTGAGCTCTTCTCTCATGGTGCATTCTCCACAGTAACCACCTGACCATCTATTAGCAAGAACGCCTAAGAAAAGAGATTTTTAAAAGACCACTTAAAACTATTTGTACTGAATATTAATTAGTAAGAATATGTTCTTTTAAAAACTGCTTATCCTTACCCAGTGGAGGCTGAAGTAAGTCCCCTTCCTTTTCACATGTCCCAACAGGTTGTATGTCCGGGGAATCAACAAGTCTCCAAAAGTCATTCCGGTTGTCACTACCATCCAGTCTTAACCGTAACCTGGCACCAGTAATCCCAACAACTGTGGCAATACACACTGAAGTAATATTGCGAGGGTCACGAGCTTCTAATTTCATGCCAACTTTGAAGTCATTAGCTGGTGGAATCTTGGACTATATATATAAATAAAATTTTGTTAAAATGCATCAACTACAGGAAAAATCAAATAGTTATGTAACCAGAACTCCCGAGGAATGTTTTAAGTAACAGTCACAGCAGATAGTTAGCGAGGTAAGGGTTACAAGGGTCAAAAAAGAGATCTTCTCTAAACCCTCTCCTTGGCTTGACATGTGGCATAAAGACACCAACCTCTGCTGGTCTAGTTCATCTCCCCACTTCCAGGCAACCCAAATACAGCCTCTAAAATGCATCTTCGGTGGCTTTCTAAAATAAAAATCTGATTAAGCCATTCCCCTTGAAATAAGTCAATCAGCGGCTCATCAGTGCCTAAGGATAAAGTCCAATTTCTCAGCACAGTTTAAAAGTCCCCATATCTTTAACCTAATTTTCACACTAGTGCCTCTACCCACTCTGTGCTCCAGCCACCGCATACCATCCCTCAACACTCAGGCTGTTTCACACCCACGTGCCTTTGCTTCAGGTGTTCTCTCTGTGTTAAATATCCTTCCCTTCATTCCAACCATCTCAGACAGCAGCTCTTCTGTGAGCCTTTCCAGGACAGAATTATTACACTTCTCATAATTATTTATTTACATGTTTATCTTTCCCTCTCGATGGGCAGTCATAAGGGATTCTTAGTATACCTGACAGAGTAAATTCTTAATGAATGCAAAGAGACCATCTGGCTCCTAACTGGCACTACCACAATCCCACTATCTACTCACCCTACTAGAACCTAACAATCACACAGACACCCTTAAACAAGTTAAGTTTACATTAATATTTATAATATATACAGAATTTAGCATACCTGTCTGAAATACTCTGGAGGAGCACTTACAGATCCAGTCTCTTTCAGGTAATTGTCCCACTGGAAATCATCTGGAAAAAAAAAAGGAAAATTGTTTTTTAGTACATAAATATATATGCTAACTCACTTTCAGGAATAAAATGGGCTTTATTTCCATACCTCTCAAAAAATGCTTCCTAAAAAGCAATTTCAAACTTCCCATGATTACTAGCATGGAAATAAAAAATATGACAACTTCCTGGTAATAATGGCTCTGATATAAATTACAACCCAGCTCCTCTCAATGTAATGAGAGCTACAGCACAGTGATTCTAAACATGTGAACTCTAGAAACAATGAAAGAAAATTTTAAAGAGTAATCACAAATTCTACTCATTTGTCTCTGACATAAATTTACTCAAAAAATGTGTTTTCATCATTTCACCCCATTAATGTGAAAGTGCTTCTTGGTTTATCATGGGTAGCTGAAGGTATTTAGGTGTGTGGTCTAACAGAATTTTATCCCTGCAGTGCTTTATGGAAAGAAAAAATTTGAGAACCAGACTAGTTTTTCAATCTAGTATTAGATCTCCAACCAGTGTGTAAAGAAGACGGTGGCAGAACAAAGCAGTAAACCAGTCATCAGTGCAGTCACTGATACAGATTATTTTAATGATCTACATTTTCTACAACCTCTTGTTCTCCTTTCTCTCCCTCATTTAGTCTTTATAATACTACAGGAAAAGATCATAAATAAAGATTGCCAAAAAGCTACAAGGTTGGGATGGTCCTTCTATAGTCAGAAGTACTCACCCCTCCCCCATTTTTTAATACATGATGCTTAGAAGGAACACCCATGATAAATTCTCAAAAAGGTCACACAGTGGTAAAGGCTGGGATGAGAACGAAGACTCCTAGCCAAACCCAAGGAACATGGCCTAATCATCTATTTCTCCTTAAAAGGAAAAGACAAAAACAAATAGAATAGAAAATGTATATAAATAATCACTAATAATATTTTAGTGTCTGTGATGTTTCAGTGGTCTAGCGCTGCACAAAATACAAGACCATTCATGCCTTTCAAGACCTTACAACTGATTCTACAGAATGTGGGCATCTATCCAAGATTTAAAATTATGGTTCTAAGGAAGTAACTGCTAATTCACTAGAAGTCACATCCCAGAAAACTGCCTGTCAAAGGTAAAGCCAGCATCTAAGATATTCCTCCACAGGTCTCATCCCTTCAGAAGCAAGGGAGAACGAAGAGAACAGGATACAAGGAAAGGATCAGTCCAAAGGACTAATGGACCACAGCTACCAAGGCCTCCACGAGACTGAGTCCAGTACAGCTAGATGGTGCCTGGCTACCACCACTGACTGCTCTGACCAGGATCACAACAGAGGGTTCTGGACAGAGCTGGAGAAGGATGTAGAACAAAATTCTAAGTCACAAAAAAAAGACCAGATTTACTGGCCTAAAGGAGACTGGAGAAACCCCGAGAGTATGGCCCCCAGACACCCTTTTAGCTCAGTGGTGAAGTCACTTCCAAGGTTCACCGTTCAGCTGGGGATTGGACAGCCCCATAAAACAAAATGGGACTAATGAGGCACAGCAGTCCAGGGACAAGAGCTAGAAGGCAGAAGGGGACAGGAAAGCTGATGATAGGGAACCCAAGGTTGAGTAAGGACAGCGTTGATGTGTTGTGAGGTTGTTAACCATTGTCATAGGGCAACACGTGTATTAACTGTTTAATGAGAAACTATTTTGTTCTGTAAACCTTCATCTAAAGTGAGAACAGCAGCACAATTGGAAGAGTGTAGTCGATGTCACCGAACATGTAGAAATTTTTGAAATGGTGTATCTTTGGCTATGTATATTTTCACCAAAAAAAAAAAAAAAAGGTCGAGAAGGGAGAGGGTTGACATTTTGTGGGGTTGTTAAGCAATGTCGTAAAACAGTATGTGTACTACTGTTTAATGAGAAACTATCTGTTCTGTAAACCTTCACCTGAAGTACAATAAGAAAAAAAAAAGGTAAAGCCAGGTAGAGACATACTCTAAGCTGAAACTCTTGCTCACTGATGACTTCCTTTTCTCAAGCATATTTTTAAAATAACAATATATAAAAGATATAATAAAAGTGAAACAATTCAGACATCCTCTTAAAGTTCAATGGTGCTTTATACAAGCTGTCTGGTCGTCTTCTTTTTTCCCCAAAATGAGATTAAGGTGGAGTTGCCTTAGTGTGGAAAAGTTCAATCACCCAAGCTCATCTATAATCAGAATCCATAAAATTAGAAGGTTGGCGGAGGGGATTCTTTAACAAAAAATAAGTGCATCCTTCATGCTCTCTTTCAAAACTTTCTGGCCCAAAGTATCAGCAACAATCAAGCTATTTTAACAGCTATTCCACACTTGTAGCAATATCAAGTGTAAAATAAAAAAGACTGCTTTTATAACCTAAAGATATCCTTATCCAACTCTGAATTATTTTAGATGTCTCTCAGGAATAAGATCACCTATTTCAAAAATTACAATAACATTTCACGCTGTATACTTTGCATGGCTTGACCACTTCAATTCATGGTACCAGCCAGAGTGCCAGACACTGAGAGAGAGACTTGATAGTATTTAAACTTCATATGAAGTTTAATTCTCATCAGCCATGAGGTTTTTCTAAACTCTTAATTTCCTCACTTAAAAATTTTGGGTTTGACCCAAATAAGAAATGAAATGGGGGACATTACAACAGACCCAACTGAAATAAAAAGGATTATAACAAAATATTATGAAAAACTATACTCCAACAA